TGGCTGTTTTTAAACGCTCGCAACGCGTTCTGGTAACTGTTAAACAGCCGGAACGCGTTTTGTCAATTGTTGTCGGGTATACAGTTAAAATTTGAGTGTGTGAATATGAAAGTGAGGTACCAGCGGACAAAATCTCCTTACGATCAGCATCAACTCAATCATCAGGAAGCAAACAAGGTTTTGTTTTTTGTCAGTGCAAACGAATGTGCATTGATAAAAAATGCAAGTGTCGCAATTTAAATGTACTATGTAATTCGAAATGTCATTCAAACAGTTCTTGTAAAAATAAGTAATATACCTATGTAAAGTACTTGAAAGTTCGAAAAAACCCCTCGTTTGTATTTAATTGTGGTTGTCAAAAATTAAATCGTTTCTAATAAAGTAAAAAAGGCATGAATTTAAGTTTGCGTTGTACTCCACACTAAGTTAAATGTGTCGAAATTCATTTGTTTAATGAATACCTTTTCGCTTTTTCGTTCATTAATTCGTATATCATATGCTCGACAATATAAGTGTTCAGTGTAACTTTCTTCCTAGAACTGAAAAACAATTATAAGAAATTTAATATTGTTGAAATGATTCGGCGAGAAAAACCGAACCCATCTTTGGTATCCAATTATAGTTGTCAATAATTGAATTGTTTCCTAAAAACTGAAAAATGGATTGAAATTCATTTGTTTTATAAGTACAATATAAATCCCATTGTAGGCAGGTAGAAAGCGGCAAATAATACAAGTCGAACATTAAGAACGCGTTGTGAGCCTTCAACAATTGACAAAACGCGTTCCGGCTGTTAACAGTTGCGAACGTTTAGAAACAGCCGAAACGCGTTCTGTGCGTTCGAAGGCAGCTAGAACGCGATATGGCTTTTTTTCCGGCCACTGAGCGTTAACATAGGTATTATTAACACTGTGGTGAAAACCTCGTGAAGAACGATGACTATATTTATCACAGACAATGTACGCTTATGTCCATGTATGCCTCAATTTTTAGTTCTCTTCATTATAGTCAGTTTCGATAACTCACTGACCAAATTGTAGTTACTCTATACAAATTAGTGTTTATATATATTGAAAGAAAGTGTGTCGCCATCTACTCATATTTATAGGTATCTTCATATGTGACCACACACGGATGAATTTACAAAAGATTTTATCTGATCGTTTACTGTATAACGGCCTGAATTTGAANTACTTTTGTTGTTGCAGATTAGATAAGAAACAACTTATGTTAGGGTTGTAAGATGTTACTTTTAGCAGAATACTCGTACATGCTGAACTGGAGTTATCTGATGTCAAACGATTTCTAACCGAGTTTTTAATGCTATTCATCTCTGAAAATAATGACTCGCAGGCATAGGTTAAGGAAAAACATTGTTAAAATAGCATAAGCCAGCTTCTTCAAACAATTAAAAATGTTTGGTAACGCATTTCATGTTTCCAAAATTTTGTTATTAGCATTTTCACTTGTATTACCTGCCAATCCTTCTGTTTCAATTAGTTTCCTTGTTTCAATAAATTTTTGGATCCATATTGAACTAGACTATGATTGATATTAGTGACGTGCCCAAAATATTGTGTTGCGTGCCACTAATGGCACGCGTGCCATTGGTTCGCCATCCCTGTCAAAGGCAATGTAGGCTTATGTCCATATATGCCGCACTTTTTAGTTCTCATCGTTATTGAGTCAGTTTCGATAACTCTGACCAAATTGTAGTTACTCTATGCAAATTAGTGTTTATATATATTGAAAGAAAGTGTGTCGCCATCTACTCATATTTATAGGTATCTTCATATGTGACCACACACGGATGAATTTACAAAAGATTTTATCTGATCGTTTACTGTATAACGGCCTGAATTTGAATTGAACGAATAAAATTTTAATAGTCATATAAAAATCTAGGTATTATGATCTTATATTATTGTATAGTAATATATTCAATTTACGTAAATACAAAAAAAGTCTATTGATGGTTATATAAAGTTTAATAATAAAAGTAATCTGATCACCTATCAGATAATATAAAGGTATGGTCACACCTAGGCAAATGCTGAGGCAGTAATATTCCACAGATAATCTTTCATTCTCACAATTGTCGTA